TCTCGTCGAAGTGCCGTCTTCGAGATCAGAGTTTCACGCATTTCGGTGAGAAGGAAAATTCGGGCATCGGAAGGAAAGAAAGAAAGAAAGAAAGAACGAAAGAACGAGCAAGAGACACGGTAAACACTCGTAGTCGGAGAAATAGAGAGAAAGAGAATGAGAGAGAGAGAGAGAGAGAGAGAGAATGAAAGGAAAAGAGAGAGAGAGAGAGAGAGAGAGAAAGAAAGAAAGAGAGTTAATGGAGGATTGACTGAGCAAAGGGTTGTGTTTCCGGTGTTGCAGGATGCACGCGGTTGGATTGCACTCGGCGCTGGCCATCAAGCGTCAGAGAAAACGCCGGGACGAGCAACGTCGTGCCCGCGAGCGTCGTTATAGCGCGCAATCGGGCGAGAGCGGCCTGACGTCGCCGAGGGCTTCGACCGGCTCCTTGGACCATCAACCGAGGCATCATAAAGCCGGGCATTCGAATCGCTCGGCCGGCCAGGGTATGTTGGACTCGAAGGTGGTCACGTCGGTGGGGATGCTTCACATCGGCGTGGTCTTCCTAGTGTTCGGCGCGTTCCTCCTGATGAGCGGTCTGCTGCCCGGGGATCTCGCCCAGTGGGGCACCAAATCGTCCGGCGGATGGTGGAACGAGCTGGTCGCCATAGGTTTGTTCGCCATCTTTGTCGGCATATTCCTCATCATATTGAACAAGGTGATCGCTAAGAAGGAGGAGAACGATCTCGAGGAGTACGTGCAGAGGCAGTTGACGAGATCCAGGTCGGGGCACAGGCTGGAGAGAGACGCGGAGACCGGTGGACTGACCACGAAACACGCTCGAAGGGCGAAGCAAATGCAGCAGGTGGCTTCCAGCGCGTCCATAGAGACGCAGAACGAGAAAGTGTCTGGCTCGCCGCCCAGGAGTCCGCCGCCTGCTTACTCGCCGCCGCCGACGATGAACGGCGATCACCAAGCTGTTCAGTCGGCCCTCTACCTCGAGCAGATCACCGAAGAGGAGATTATCAGCGATCGCATGGAAACGTCGACTACGAACAGCCTGAGCCCCGGCTCGCCGAGCGAGACCAGGGAACTGCTGCAGAATCCTCGCTACTCGAAGCAGAACGGGAACCCTCAGCAGGTTCATCGGCCGCTTTACGTGTCTAGAATCTAGATAATCGAGGGAAGTTCGAAGCCCGTTCTGGCTTGAAGCTGGAACGATCGCTTTTCGAGGATCTCACGTGGTGTATGTATATCGGGAACAAACTCGAGAGTCTGAGAGAGAAAGAGAGGAAGAGAGAGAGAGAGAGAGAGAGAGAGAGTGTCTTTCTGCCACGGCGACGACAATGACGAAAGGCGATGACGTGCGTATTTTTTTTTTTTTTTTTTTTTGATCATTCGTGTTTCGATCAAGTGAGCAACATCTTGAAAGACAGCTTAGGTATAATACTAACGATGCTGGAATCTGCAAGCCGACGAATTGAAATTCGAGACGAGGGAAGAAAGGAAATCTAGGAAAGAAGGATGAAATCGTTTGGTCGAGAGGTTTTGTCGGATTTAACGAAACATACGAGCCAATCTGATCTGTTTTTTTCTTTTTCTCGAAGTTATCGAGATTTCGTAGAGGCCGTTTACATCTCAAGCGTCTCATTGTCTCTTACATCCAAATTAACTTCCTCTCAGATAACTTAACTTATCTGGGATAACGAGGGATATTCTTTCAAAAAAAAAAAAAAAAAAAAAAAGAAAAAAAGAAGAAAGCTGATCGTTAAACGTTCGTAGAACTTGATTAAGTGGGACCAAGGTTTCGCGCTCGATCCACCCGAAACGAAACGAAACTCAACGCTGCTACGTTCGCTGAACTACGCGTAACAAGGGAGAGACAGCCAAAACACGAATTCATCAACGAAATTTATCGATCGAACAATTCCTGATAAACGAACTCCACAGTTCAACTCCTGTTGCAACCGAAAAGGAGAGGGAGGGGAGCAATGGAGCGTAAAACAAGCAACTAATCGAAAACGTTTGAATCGAGCTACAAGCCAACGAAACTGTGCAATCTACATAGTCGAAAATGCAATTTCCCTTCACGCTAATTTCGATCCGATCCAAGCTGAGCTGCGCGCCCCTATCTCCTTGAAAGTTTCGTATTCTCGAGGAATCGAGTTTCACACGGTGCATTCACCGAGCGATCCGCTCGCCGTCGAATGCAATTCTACTCCGAGCAATTTCCTGTCGGGAAGTCCAATGGGAACCGATATCGGGTCGTGTGCAAGGGGCAGCCCTCTGTCTCTTTGTGTACGATCTGATCGTTGCGAGGAAAGGGAAATTTAACAAGATACAGAGAGAAAAGAAGAGAGAGAGACAATGAGAGAAAGAGAGAGAGAGAGA